TGGGGGTTCTCCTGTTTGTCTCGCCCCCCCCCCCCCAAAGAGGGACATAGCTGCCTGGGCATCTCAGAGGGCCCTGTCGGAGGGCATCCATCCCCGAGCGCTTTGGCCTTGGGGCCACGCCGTGCGTAGCCCCACAGCAGCTGTGGAGAGGGATGCACCCCCCAGCATGGCGGGGGGCTGAGGGACGCAGGCGCTGGAAGTCTAATGGGGATCTGCACCGTGGTTGCAAAATGGGCTCAGCCCATCAGCCTGCAGGCACCGCTCCTGTTCCCATGCCCTTGCATGCCCGTTTGGCTAAATCCCTGAGCGGGACGATCCTGCTTGCCACCATGTCAGCCCAAACGCACTGCCTTGCTTCTGGGAGCCAAGAAGGGCCTGGCCAGAGACTGAGCTATTCCTGCAAATCCTGTAGCAAAGCCCTGCTCACGAAGGTGTGCTGTGCCACTAGGGACGCGGATTCAAGCGTGGGCCTTGCCTGCCATCCACAGTGTGGATGTGAAACACGTCCTCAGCCTGGGTTTAGCCGTAGCACTGGAGCTGGTTGGAAGGAGGGTGCTGGGGCAGGAGTTCAGCCCCTGTTCCCCGGGTCAGGGGACCTGTTCCCCACGTGGGCACGTGCAGGGTCAGCCAGCGCCAGCAGGCAGCTTGTGCTTGACTTTTTCCAAAGAGCAGCTGCGTTAGCAGCCGGTACCACAGTTGGTAAGTCCGTGCATGGGTGGTGGGGCTCAGCATGCTTATGCCTGCTCTTGGGCTGCTCCTTGCATGGCATCGCAGATGTTGTCAAGAAGCTGCAGAGAAGCAGGACGTGGGGTCTGTGATGTGAAAACATCACTCAGCCGGGATGTTTTCTTGGCAAATCTCTCCTACCCTGCAGCATGGGTGCTGTAACTACCCAAGGAGTACGACATGTTCTCCCACTCTCGGCCCTTGCCTGGCTACAGCAAATACGTGACAGTAAAACGTGCTGCTTCTCAAGTTTTCTCTGATTTTCAAGACAGGGGTTGCCTTTTATTGTTACACTTGCAGAGGACCCAACAATGCAGGACTCAGCCTGGCTGGGGGAAGTGTGGGCTCTTTAACAGCAATAACAAATATTGACAATTTTAGTTAATGCTTTGCTTTTCCATTTGTGCCTTTTCATCTTCAGATCTCAAAAACTGGTTTGAAACCATCAATTATGCTTCCTGTTGTCTGTTTTCAACATCAGTGGGGGAGGAAACTGAGGCACAGGTAAGAATGATCTGAAGTCTTCTAAAGCTATTAAGCTGATTGAGTCACCTTGTTTTTGGCCGGTGAATGCAGGAGACCTTGGGTCTCATTTCTGTATTGCCCACAGAAAGCCGTGAAGGCAGTGGGAGCAGGAGGTTGTCAATGTTTTTTGAAAAATGTGCTGTTAAGCTGACAAAAATGTAGACAATTATCACTTCTCAGCTTTGAGGTTAAAAGGAATCCCCCTCCTTACTTGAGTCAGACTTATCATGGGGTCGTTGGCTGAAAAGACCTCTGGAGGTCGGGTAGTCCAACCTGCTGCTTGAGACAGGACTATTAGCAATGCCAGGTCAGGTCAGCTGTGGGCTTTGTTTAGCTGAGTCTTGGGAAAACTCCCGGGGATGGAGATCTCGCACAGCCTCTCTGGGTATTGGATCCAGCATCGCATTATGCTCCTAATGAAGAAGCAGTTCCTAATGTCCGCTCTGGACTTCCCCAGCTACAAAGTGTGGCTCCTGGCTCTTGTTTTACCACATGCACTGCTGAGAAGACTTTTTGTGCATTTGACTGTGTGACATAAACTTCATATTCTAGCATCACCTGAGAACCTTTCATCTGACAAACTCCCTGGCAGTGCACGGTCCCTCCTTTGATCTCGTTCCCTTCACAGGATAAATTGCAGTTTTGAAGTGTTCAGTGTCTTGTACTAAAACTTAAGCTGATTAGCAGGTGTCACATGGTGGCTTTTATAGGTTGTGATGTGTGTAGGGGAAAGGATGGATGTTCTTGTCTGTCCTCTGAATATCTGATTAAATCTTTTTTTTTTTTTTTGCAGGTACCAGGAATCAAGAAATTAGTCCTATTTTTCTGAATTTCTGAGTTTTTCTGAATCTTGGCCTGTATATGGACAGCGGCTGCGTCCTCAGGTAAAGTGTCACTGTTGCAAATTGTCAGTTAGTTCATGGGTGTGAAGTGCCTAAGTAGGCCAGGCCAGCTGTGGTGGTGATGGTGAAAGTCTCATGAGGCAGGTTATATTTCATCACTTAAGTGGATAAAACAGCAAGTGGTTTGCTTGAGATAACATCGGTAATTATAACTAGTTAGACAATGTTTAATATCTAAAGTGTAGCTTTAGATTCTAGGTCAAAATACCAATGCTTGGAGCTCCTGCCCAGTGGTAGACCTGCCTGCAATGTCAGAGCGCTGAAAATTTGGAGATTGCAATTTCAGAGCAAAGGTTTGCGTGATCATTTCTGTGATTCTTGTTACTGTATAAATGCCACATACTTAAAGCAGAGATAAAATCAGTTCCAAGAAGTTTGGTGGGCGTGGGAAGGGCGTAGGAGGAAGCAGAGAAACATGTTTTGGGGAAGAGAAAGGGAGTTGTGTTGGCTGGAGTGAACAAACCCTGTGGCACTGGGCAGCGCTTCCCACAAAAGGCAGCATCTCGTCAGTAACTGCAGCCTTTGTGCAAATGCTGCATCATCAAGACATGGGGCAGAATCCTTCTGGTGATCCCCAGACGTAAATCCTGTCTCCCGTGCCCGTTGGCAGCCAGGAAACCTCGCTCCTCTGCAGCCCTGCTGCTAGCTTACAGCTCTTGTTTCAGCCGTGTCCTGGGGTCTGCATGTGGACGAGGCCTCTCCAGCTACATGCTTCTCAGTTGTCGCAGTCCTGTTTGGATTTCTGTTGAGAGGAAAGCATGCCGGTATGTGGAGGATTTGGAGGATCAGGCCCCCGTGTTGAGTCCCTGCTGTTAGGCCCAATTCCTTTCCCTGCTCTGTGGTGCATCACAGCTCAACATCGTCTCTCTGGGGACCAGAGGTCACATGTGACACTGAA